GAACAACTGTCTCTATTTCTGAGATGAGGTATTTTAAACATTTACACTATTTACATTGTTCGGACTGTTGTCCTCATCTGTATTGCCATATTCACCTTCAACATCTGTCTCTATTTCTGAGATGAGGTATTGTAACTATTTACACTATTTACATTGTTCAGACTGTTGTCCTCATCTTTATTGCCATATTCACCTTCAACATCTGTCTCTATTTCTGAGATGAGGTATTGTAACTATTTACACTATTTACATTGTTTGGACTGTTGTCCTCATCTTTATTGCCATATTCACCTTCAACATCTGTCTCTATTTCTGAGATGAGGTATTGTAACTATTTACACTATTTAAATTGTTCGGACTGTTGTCCCCATCTTTATTGCCATATTCACCTTCAACATCTGTCTATTTCTGAGATGAGGTATTGTAACTATTTACACTATTTACATTGTTTGGACTGTTGTCCTCATCTTTATTGCCATATTCACCTTCAACATCTGTCTCTATTTCTGAGATGAGATATTGTAACTATTTACACTATTTACATTGTTCGGACTGTTGTCTTCATCTTTATTGCTATATTCAATACACTTCAGCTGCTATATGCTCTGACCTTTTTCAGGTGATATTAGCTGAAATGTCAAATAGAACCCTTTATTTAGTCCATGGGGGTAGTTGTTCTAATTGTGAATTCAATACTTGGTCACAGCAGAGGGAACAATAACTTGAAGAGTTGAGTTACTAAAGGGAATTAACTGGAACTGAGATATCCAAAAAAAGGCATGACATGTGGAATTAGAATAATCTACCCCCAGGGATTAAATAAAGGGTTTGGTTCAAAATTTCAATGTATACCTGAAAAAGGTCGGAGCATACAATGGCCAAAATATTTTAAATATAGCAATGCAATAAAGATGAGGACAGAAGTTCAAACAATGTAAATAGTATAAATCTCTTGGAGGAACATTAATATAAGAAAAAATTATTTAAAAAAATGTAGCTATATTGTATTTAAACCTGTTTGATTGTTCTGTGATGTAGCTTTCTGGAACTGAACAAAGCCATATAAGTATAATTCTTTCAGTAAGAAAGTTAAGTCATTGATCGACATTTAACTCAATTTGAAGACTGTGATTTACTTATTTGGTTTCCATTGTAAGCCTCTCAAATGCTAATTTGCATAAGTTTCATTATCTGATGAACACAAAAACAAAAAAGAAAAGAAAAAAGAAATGGATTCTTTAAAATAATGATTTGAAAAATTATCAACATTAAGACTTCAATTTGTTATGTCTTGAGAAAAATTAAGACTATTTCATGGTTGAAGGTCTGATGAAACCAAATTAATGCCAAGAAGAACATATTAACATTCTTTTAATCATCTCACCTACAACATATTGTTCCTTTTGGTGATCACTATGTCCACAGTAATCAGAATATTTTAAAAGTGTGCCTGTGATCCTTGCAGTACCTCCTTGCATCGTTCCTATCTTTCCTATTTTTATCAAGAATACTTTCTGTGAAACAAGGTGTATACACTTTGTTCTCCATTTCATTTCACATCATTTGCTTTCATCATTAGTGGGAAATTTTAGCTTTAAATATTGGCTCCCATAAAACTGATTTTTCAAAATGGTGAATGTAGAGCAACATTGGATGGATTGATGGGAAACAGTTAACGGGAAGATGACAAAAAATTAGCAAGTAATGTTAAAGTAGTAACTATAGAAAATTTAATGGCTGAAGGACTGATGAAAGCAAATTAATGCCAAGAAGACCATATTAACATTCTTTTTAACCATTTCACCACAAACAAGGATAAAGCCACTAAGACACAGCAGATTATTGAGTGTGAAAGAATACAAGCAAAAGTAAACCATTAAGGGGTGGAACAATAAAAAAACAGGAATTTAGTTGACAGAGGCTAGCAACTGACATCACATTTAAATCTTTTAAAGATCAATCTTGACTGGAAAACTAGAAGCCAGAAGAAAGTTCCACAAGTAAGAATTTCGAGAAAAGACATGGTTAACATAGAACTTTTAGTTTCATCTAGCAATTTCAAGAAGACAGAAGACAAAGATTGACATTCTATTTAAAGAAATGTCTCCTTTTCAACAATGAATTAGAAAGATTTGTTTTCTACAGCTTATCAACCCTTTACAAGGTTATTTAAAACCAGAGTTTGTTTTAGGGATAATAATGAGTTCGTGATAAAAGTCTTTCTAATTAACCCATAACTGGAGGAGAAGAGGTGTATTCAAACTTTTCCCAAAGATATTTGCATGTAAGTGAATATAATAAACCCAACTGGAATTGGAACTCGGCTTTGTGATTAACAATTCCAAGCCATTATCAATTACACATCCAAGTGGTCACCTATCTAGATACTGATCAGAATCAACATTGCTTAACTTTATTTATCACGATGTGATGTGGCTGTATGTCTCATCATTAAAATAAAGTTCTTATGATATCAACATCAAAAGGGAAAAATGTTTAGCTACTAATTTTTGCCAAGATTAGAATTTCAACTGACTTTTTAATCAAAAGGAGATTTTCAGTGTACAAATCAAAGACATGAAATTTAATACCAATGTCCATCTAATGCAAGTCTTGAGAGCTACCCAAGATAGAGTTGGTTGGAAGTGAAGAATTTGTGGATATTACTTGAAGATGTTAAGATTGTAGTCTTCAGGGAATTATCCATTTGGAAATCTGTTCCACCAAATAGCAATCCTTAGGAAAAAGCTATCTGAGTGGCACATTCTGCTTAGACTTGTAGGAAATGAGGATGATTCAACTGTGTGGAAGTGGCATGACATGTCATGTGGTAGCAGTAAAGACCTGAACTGGTGAAACTTATGAACTGAGTACATCTAAACATTTATGAAAATAGTGATAAAGTAGTAACAGTGATAGAGTAGTAACAGTGATAGAGTAGTAACAGGTTTGTGCCATTGCATCTGTGGGAAAGACACTTGATGTGTAGGCTTGGGAAAGTGATTGTAGAATGGTGAATGCATCTTCTTTCACAAGACTGTGTAAAAGATTTTGAAATCTATCAAGATAGGAAAGTGAAGATTAAGCTGTTCCCAACCTAGGTATGGAAACAACACTCCATTTTTAGTCTAATCTCACTCTTGTTCAGATAAAGCATAGCAGATGGAGTGGACAGAATGGAGTGATAGCATAAGCCGATTATTTTTCGAGCATCTATACATTTAAATATATGTATATATATTAGCCGAATTACCTATGCCTTGCTATGTGTTACATGTTTATTTGCAAGAAAATGATGATTGATTTTATATCATTGTTATAATTTGTGGAGAAAAATGATGCTTTTCTATATTACCCAATGATCTTGCTGATGTGACCTTCATCTTCTGGCTTTCTCCTTCTATATTTCTCTTGTTCAAATTTAAATTTAATTTAAACCAAAGGGAAAAAAATCAGTCAAGGGGTTTGTGCATAAAACAGTTTAAATGAATTGATGAGCAGATTTCAACATTGATATGACAGTTGAATTGTTGCAATAAGTATGTATGGTAAAGTACTACCCAATGATTTGTGATTTCTTTGTTCAACTTGATGTCCATATTGTCCCAGTCTGATCATGCTGATGTGACCTCCATCTTCTGGCTTTCTCCTTGTATATTTTGCATAGGAGTCATTCCTTTGTTCATATTTAAGTTTAATTTATACCAAAGGGAAAAAAAATTCAGTGAGGGTTTTGCACCCACTGGAGACCCTCTTTGAATAAAATCAACAAAATCAAATATATTTATCCAAGTACCCTATGAGTCATTTCCTTGTTCAAATTTAAATTTAATTTATATCAAAGGGAAAAAAATTTCAATGAAATATACTTATCCAAGTACCCTGTGTAATGTAGTTTCAGAATATATATGGTTATGGGGGAGGAGTCTATCTTCAAAAGGAGGAGTTTGATAGCAAACAGACAGACAGATGCTACAACTTTATATATATATATAGATATACTCTAAATCAGATTCAGTTCACCAATGAATGGCTGAGGACATTGACTTTCGTGTTTTAAAATGCTCCTCCAGCATTTCCTCATTAAATTCTTACTTTCATACTGAAGGCTATCCGTTTTGGCTTGAGGCATTTTATTACCAATTTCAGTTCACCTCTTATATCATTTACTTGAAACTTTTACACTTACTGGACATATTGAAGACAAGAGGAGGAGAGGAAAGCAGCAAAAGCCTGCCTAATGAGCTTGTGGAAATGTTTGGTAGAACAGGGATTTGGAGAGACAGCAAAAACACAAAATTTACTAGGAGTCACAGAGGACAGGAAATTATGAAGAGCCATGATTGCTCATGTCTTGAAGGGACAAGGCAATATAGAACAAGAAGAATGAGATTGTGTAAATGGTTGGCAGAACAGAGATTAAAAGAGATAAGAAAAGGAGAAAATTTCCCAAGAGACACAAAAGACAGGAAATTGTGGAGAGCTATGATCGCCCAGATCCTGAAGAGATATGATGCATAGAAGAATGACCTGCTCAAGTCTATTTCTTCCTTTTATTATTTAGAGAATATCACACAGTTAACCATAAGAAAAGTGTTAGGTTGTCGTAATCCATTTTCTGTCTTTTATTTCTTAAGACATTAATCTTTATTTCAATCCAAATGCTGCTTCTATATTTCTCTAGTTTCTTACATGTGATCTGCAAAAATCAGAACTTTATGATAGCAGCCAAATAAGACATTGAATGATGATGTTCACTCCTGAGAGTTCTCTTCTTGTTTTTTTTTTTTTCTTTCTCAAATATGAATCTGAAATTCTTGACTTTAGTGTTTCTTTATTGGTAGTAAAACAAATGTTATTTGAGGTTAATGTTTTACTTTCATCATGGAACAAGAAAAAGCAGCAGCATAAAAAAAAATGTATATCTGAGAATAAATATGTATAAAATATGGAAGCATGTCATTGGCAAGAGTAGAAGATAAAGAAACTGGGGTTTAGAACTAAGAAGACAGGTAGTAGTAAAATAAAATAAGAACTGAAAGAAGAAGGAACAAATGATAGACAATAAGGGGAAAAAGGCAAAGGCAAGAAAAAGAATAACAGATAAGTAAGAGAAGGACATTTACCTACGTTTCATAGACTATGCAAAGTCCTTTGACAAAGTAAGCCACAAGTATCTGATGGAACTGCTCAGCAACCTTGATATATTCGGGAAAGATATCAGAATAATCAAGAACCTATACTGGCAGAAAACAGCATGCATGTGCATAGGGAACGAGTTCAGTAAATATATAAAAATAGAAACGGGCGTAAATCAAGGATGTATTTTCTCATCTGACCTGTTCAACCTATAAAGCACGGCAATTCTGAGAGAATTGGAAACCCTACCGGGATTTAACATTGGCAGCCACAATCTTAAGAACATGAGATATGCAGATGACACAATAGTGATAGCAGAGACATAAAAGAATTTACAAAATCTCCTACAGAAGGCAGTGATGGAGAGTGAGAAGAAGAGACTAAGCATAAATTACAACAATAATCCATAGTTGTCAGCAAGAGGATGAGCCTGAAATCTTATTTACAGGTTGGAATACTAAAATCAAGCAGACATGGAAGTTTAAATGTCTGGTAAGCGTTTTGACAGAGGACAGTAAGTGCGACACTGAGATCCATTGATGTATTAGGATGGCCAAGGATGCATTCCAAAAGTTGAGCAGAGTATTGCGAGACAGGAGGATTTCTTTGGTAACAAACAAAAGAATACTGAGCTGTTACATGACATCTGTCCTTCTTTACAGCAACGAATGTTGGACGATTTCCTCAAAGATGAAGAAGAGACTCAAGGCGATGGAGATGTGGTTCTACAGAAAGATGTTAAGGATATCATAGACTGAGCATGTGAGCAACAACGAGTTCTTAGAAACGATGCAAATAAGGAGGAGGCTTATACTTAACATCAGGAAGAGGCAGCTGAAGTTTCTGGGACACATAATGAGGAAGGAAGGAGGGCCTGGAGAATCTGATACTCATGGGTTGAATAGAGGGAAAGAGAGACAGGGGAAAACAATGTGTGACATAACTGGCAGGCTTAAGCAAGTGGATGACAGAACGTGGCCTGGGGGAGGAAGCAGATGGAAGAAATGTGTTGAGAACTGCAAGAGATACAGGAAGGTGGAGAGCCATGATTGCCAACATCCTGAAAGGACATGGCACACAAAAAAAGAAGAGAAGGTGAAAGAGAGAGAGAAAAATACAAAGAATAAAGGATTAGTAAGAGAAGGTGAGAGTGAGAGAATACAAAGAATAATGGATTAGGAAGAGAAAGAGAAAGAGAATAAAAGATTAGTAAAAGAAGATGAAAAAGAGAGAGAGAATACAAAGAAAAGCATAATAGATGAAAATAGTTGAAAATGATGAAAAAAGGCCAAAAAAAAGATGTTAACTCAATACAAGCCACTCAAGGTAGAGGGTTGGTAAGACATAAGAGGCACAGTTGATGAGGATATGTAGGAAAGATATTGGTTAACCCTAGACTTGAAGAGGTTAAGATTGTAGGTTGGGAAAGTATCCTCTTGGGAATCTGTTACACAAAGCAGCAGTTCTAGGGAACTATCTGAGTGGTACTTCCTACTTACTAATGGCATACAAAAAGAATGAGGATAGTTTCCTTTTGTACATGACACTGTGGGTCTTAGCTGTAAAGAACAGAACTTATACTGGAAGAAATATGGATAAAAAAAGGAATTCAGTAAATACACAAAAATTGAAAGGGGCAAGGATGTGTCTTCTTGTCAGACTTATTCAACCTTTACAGCAAAGCAATCACACAAGAATTAGAAGTCCTACAAGGATTCATTATTTGCAGCTACAATCTTATAAAAAATGATATGCTGCTGACACACTGTTGATAGCAGACATAGAAAAGAAACTATGGGAACTCTTATAGGAAAGAATGAAGAAAGGACTAAACATACTGTAACAAGATAGAACATATGGATGTCAGGAAAAGAAACACCCCAACATGTAAATTAAAAATTAGAGATAGCACAATTAAACAAGTGCAAAAATTTAAATATTTAGGAATTGTAACAGAGGTTGGAAAATTTGATGCTGAAGGATACTGCAAGATGCCTTCATAAAGTTAAGAAAAGTATCAAGAAACATGAAAATTTCATTAGAAACAAAGAAAATATTACTGAAATGTTCTGTAATATCAGTATTGCTATAGGGCAGTGAATGCTGGATGATCTCCTCATGGAGGAAGGAGAGACTTCAGGCAACAGAAAAGTAGCTCTACAGAAAAATGCTGAGAATACCATGGACTGAACAAGTGAGTAATGCAGAAGTTTTATAGAAAATGGAAACAAAAACGACCCTTTTTATGTAGACTCAGATAGAGGTAAGTGAAATTATTAGGGTACATAATGAGGAAAGAGGGCTCAGAAAATTTTATACTTACAGGACATATTGAAGACAAGAGGGAGAGAGGAAAACAGTGTATAACCAACCTCTGTTGTGTAAATAAGGGCTACAAAAGACAGGAATGTGTGGAGAGCCATGATAGCTCATGTCCAGAAGGATCATGGTAGATACAAGCTTGTAAGAACATTTTTTTTATAGAAATAGTGATGTTTCATTTGTGGGAAAGGGGATGCATGGTGGAAAACAATTCATCACCCACAAGGCTGCATTGACATTGAGCTTTATCAAGACTGAAAAGGGAAGACTAGGTAGCTCCAGATCTAGCAGCAGTACTCCATTTTTGGTCTGTCCTGGCTTTTGTAAAGGCATCAGATAGCAAGAAGAGTCAGGTATTTAGTGGTATATTACAGGTCTTCTTTTATGTGCCATGTCCCTTCAGTAGATAGACAATCATGGCCCTCCATATCTTCCTGTTCCTTGTAGCTCTTAATAAGTTTTGTCTTTTTGTTATTTCTCCCAAACCTTGTTCTAACATCCATTTCATCAAGCTTATTTAGTATGTTATGAGCTACTATCCTCTGTCCCTATTTCCCTCAATCTGTCCTGTGAGCATTAATTTCTCCAAGCCCTCTTTCCTCATTATATGCCCCAGGAATTTCAAGTATTTCTTCCTGATGTTAAGTATAAGTTTCCTTTTTGTTTCCATTTTTTCCAAAACCTCATTATTGTTCATAGGTTCGGTCTATGGCATTCTCAGAATCTTTCTGTAGATCCACATTTCTGTTGCTTCAAGTCTCTTCCGTCCTGGCTAAGACGTTAAACTACGTCCAGCAGCAAAGCCTCTGATCAGAAGATTTTGAGAAACAAAGAACCACCTCTAAATTGCTGATGTGGTAGCACCTGTTAGGGTCCCAGCTATTGGCAAATAGTTAACTATTACCAGCAATACACTTTTGAAGGAAAAATATTACCAGAAACAGATTTTTGTCAAAACAAAATATTACAAGCAATAAAAAATTTTGTCGGCCTTAAATATCCCATTGAGGTTGACATGTCGTAAAACAAAATAAACCAAACCAAACCAAGTGTCTTCCTCATCTTTGAGGAGATTGTCCATACAGAAAGACAGATATCACATAACAGTCCAGTACTCTTTTTATTATTTCTAATGAAATTTTCCTGTCTTTTAATACATTGCTTAGCTTTAGGAATGCATCTTTGGCTATCCTAATAAGTCTTTGGATCTCTGTGTCGCACTTTCCATCCTCTGTTAGAACACTTTCCCGATACTTAAATTTGTGTACTTGTTTGATTTTAGTATCCAGATTTGTAATTTGCACTTTGGGCTCCTACTTTTGCTGATAACCATCCATTCTGTCTTCTTGAAGTTTATACATGGTCCTTTTTTTTTGGTTTATGTAGAAATGCTTTTACATTCTGTAAAAGCATTTCTAGTTTTGCTTCCATGTCTGCTATCAGCACTGTGTCATCGGCATATTTTATATGGCTGCTAACAATGAATCCTGATAAAACTGGTAATTCTCTCAGAATTGGAAATGAAGAATGCAATAGGTTTAATAAATCCAGAAAAGAGAAGACAACAAGAATGTAAAAGAGAAAAGACCATTTTCCCAGTGTGCGGAAAGAAATAAAAAAGTGTGAGAGAAGAATGAAAGAAAGAAAAAAAGAAGAATGAAATGAAAAGAAGAAAGAACAGAAAAAGAAAGAGAGATGTAAAAGAAAAAAAAGAAAAAAATAAAAAAGAAAGAAAAGAGAAAAGAAGAATGAATAGAAAGAAAGAGAGAAAGAGAAGAATGTAAATAGAAAGAAAGAGAGAAAAGAGAAAAGAAGAATGAGCAAGAAAAAAAGAGAAAAGAAGAATGTAAAAAGAGAAAAAGAGAGAAAAGAAAGAGAAAGAAAGAAGAAAGAGAAAAGAAAAGAAGAATGAAATAGAAAGAAAGAAAGAAAGAGAAAGAGAAAAGAAGAATGTAAATAGAAAGAAAAAGAGAGAAAGAAAGAAAAAGAGAAAAGAAAAGAAGAATGTAAATAGAAAGAAAAAGAGAGAAAGAGAGAAAGAAAGAAGAATGTAAATAGAAGAAAGAGAAAAGAAGAATGTAAATGAAAGAAAGAGAGAAAGAAAAGAAAATGTAAAAGAAAGAGAGAAAAAAAGAGAGAAAGAGAAAATAAATAAAGAAAGAGAGAAAGAGAAAAGAAGAATGTAAATAAAAGAAAGAAAGAAAGAGAGAAAGAGAAAAAGAAAGAATAAAAGAAGAAAGAAAGAGAGAGAAAGAGAAAAGGAGAATAAATAGAAAGAAAGAGAGAAAGAGAAAAGTGAGAAAGAGAAAAGAAAAGAGAAAAAGAGAAAAGAATGTGTAAAAGAAAGAAAGAGAGAAAGAGAAAGAAGAATAAATAGAAAGAAAGAGAGAAAGAGAAAAAAGAGAAAGAAAGAGAAAAATGAAAAGAGAAAAAGAAAAGGATGAAAAAGAGAAAAAAGAAGAATGTAAATAGAAAGAAAGAGAAGAAAAGAGAAAAGAAGAATGTAAATAGAAAGAAAGAGAGAAAGAGAAAGAAGAATGTAAATAAAAGAAAGAAAAGAAGAATGAAATAGAAAGAAAAGAGAAAAAAAAAAGAATGTAAATAGCAAGAAAGAGAGAAAGAGAAAAGAAGAAGAATGTAAATAGCAAGAAAGAGAGAAAGAGAAAAGAAGAATGTAAAAAGAAAAGAAAGAAATAAAAGAAAGAGAGAAAGAGAAAAGGAGAATGAAAAGAAAGAGAGAAAGAGAAAGAATATAAATAGAAAGAAATGAAAAGAAAAATGTAAATAGAAAGAAAGAGAGAAAAGAGAAAGAAGAACAACAGAAAGAAAGAAAAATAGAAAGAAAGAGAAAGAGAAAAAAAGAAGAATGAAAAAGAAATGTAAATAGAAGAGAAAGAAAGAGAAAAGAGAAAAGAAAAAGAAAAGTAAAGAAAGAGAAAGAGAAAGAAAAATAGAAAAAGAAAGAGAAAAAGAGAAAAGAAGAAAATGAAAAAAGGGAGAAAAGAAAAAGAAGAATGTAAATAGAAAGAAAGTGAGAGAGAAAGAAGAATGTAAATAGAAAGAAAGAAAAAAGAAAAAGAAAGAGAGAAAGAAAAGAAGAATGTAAATAGAAAAGAAAGAGAAAGAGAGAAAGAGAAAAGAAGAAAGAGAAAAAAGAAAAGAGAAAAGAGAAAAAAGAAGAATGTAAATAGAAAGAAAGAGAGAAAAGAGAAAAGAAGAATGTAAATAGAAAAAGAAAGAGAAAGAGAGAAAGAAATGGGCCGAAAGAAAGAAAAGAAAAGAATGAAATAGAAAGAAAATAAAAGAAAGAGAAAAGAGAAAGAAGAACAAATAGAAAGAAAGAGAAAGAGAAAAGAAAAATGAAATAGAAAGAAAGAGAAAAGAGAAAAGAAAAGAAAATAGAAAGAAAAGAGAAAGAGAAAAAAGAGAAGAAAAAGAAGAATAAAATAAAAGAAAGAGAAAAAGAAGAAAAAATAGAGAAAAGAAGAATGTAAATAGAAAAAGAAAGAGAAAAGAAAGAGAAAAGAAGAATGTAAATAGAAAGAAAAGAGAAAGAAAGAAAAAAGAAGAATGTAAAAAGGAGAATGAAGAAAAGGAAAAGAAAGAAAGAGAGAAAAAAGAGAAAGAGAAAAGAAGAATGTAAATGTAAATAGAAAAGAAAAGAAGAATGTAAATAAAAAGAGAGAAAGAGAAAAGAAGAATGTAAATAGAAAGAAAGTGAGAAAGAGAAAAGAAGAAGAATGTAAATAGAATGTAATGAAAAGAAAAGAAAAAAAGAAGAGAAAGAAAGAAAAGAAGAATGTAAATAGCAAGAAAGAGAGAAAGAGAAAAGAAGAATGTAAATAGAAAGAAAGAAAGAAAGAGAGAAAAGAAAAAGAGAAAAGAAAGAACAAAATAGAAAGAAAGAGAAAGAGAAAAGAAGAATGTAAATAAAGAGAGAAAGAGAAAGAAGAATAGAAAGAAAGAAAGAAAGAAAGAGAAAAGAAGAATGTAAATAGAAAGAAAGAGAGAAAGAGAAAAGAAGAATGTAAATAAAGAAAAGAAAAGAGAAAGAAAGAGAAAAGAAGAATGTAAATAGAAAGAAGAAAAGAAGAATGAGAAAAGAAAGAGAATGTAAATAGAAAAGAGAGAAAGAGAAAAGAAGAAATGTAAATAGAAAGAAAGAGAGAAAGAGAAAAGAATGTAAATAGAAGAAAGAAGAAATGGAAAGAAAGAGAAAAGAGAAAAAAAGAGAAAAGAAAAAGAAGAATAGAAAGAAAGAGAGAAAGAGAAAAGAAGAATAGAAAGAAAGTGAGAAAGAGAAAGAAGAATGTAAATAGAAAGAAAGAGAGAAAGAAAGAAAAGAAGAAAAAAAGAAGAACAAATAGTAAAAGAGAGAAAGAGAAAGAAAAAAGAAAGTGAAATAGAAAGAGAAAGAGAAAAGAAGAATGTAAATAGAAAAGAAAAGAAAGAGAAAAGAAGAATGTAAATAGAAGAAAGAGAAAGAGAAAAGAAGAATGTAAATAGAGAAAAGAAAGAGAGAAAAAGAGAAAAGAAGAATGTAAATAGAAAAAGAGAGAAAGAGAAGAAGAATGTAAATAGAAAGAAAAGAGAAAGAGAAAAGAATGTAAATAGAAAAAGAAAGGAAAAAAAAAAGAGAGAAGAAAGAGAGTAAGAGAAAAAAAATGAAAAGAGAGAAAGAGAAAAGAAGAATGTAAATAGAAAGAAAGAGAGAAAGAGAAAAGAAGAATGTAAATAGAGAAAGAGAGAAAAGAAGAATGTAAATAGAAAAGAAAGAGAAAAAAAAAAAAGAAGAATGTAAATAGAAAGAAAGAGAGAAAGAGAAAAGAAGAATGTAAAGAGAGAAAAGAGAAAAGAAGAATGTAAATAGAAAGAAAGAGAGAAAAAGAAGAAATGTAAATAGCAAGAAAGAAAGAAAGAAAAAAGAAAGAGAAAAGAAGAAAAAGAAGAAATAGAAAGAAAGAATGAAAAAAGAAAAGAAGAATGAAAGAGAAAAGTAGAAGAATGTAAATAGAAAGAAAGAGAGAAAGAGAAAAGAAGAAAGTAAAAAGAGAGAGAAAGAGAGAAAAGAGAAAAGAAAGAGAGAAAGAAAGAGAGAAAGAGAAAGAAAAAGAAGAAAAAGAGAAAAGAGAAAAGAAGAATGTAAAAAAGAAAGAAAAAGAGAAAGAAAGAAAAAGAAGAATGTAAATAGAAGAAAGAGAGAAAAAGAAGAATGTAAATAGAAAAGAAAGAGAGAAAAGAGAAAAAGAAGAAAAGAAGAAATGTAAATAGAAAGAAAGAGAGAGAAAAAAGAAAGAAGAATGAAATAGAAGAAAGAGAAAGAGAAAAGAAGAAATGTAAATAGAAAGAAAGAGAGAAAGAAGAAAAAAAAGAAGAAAGAATGAGAAATAGAAAGAAAGAGAAAAGAAAGAGAAAAGAAAAAGAAGAAATGTAAATAGAAAGAAAGAGAGAAAGAGAAAAGAAGAATGTAAATAAAGAAAGAGAGAAAGAGAAAAGAAGAATGTAAGAAAGAAAGAGAAAAAGAAAAGAAGAATGTAAATAGAAAGAGAGAAAGAGAAAAGAAGAATGTAAATAGAAAGAAAGAGAGAAAGAGAAAAGAAGAATGTAAATAGAAAGAAAGAAAGAGAGAAAATGAGAAAAGAAGAAAAGAAGAACAAATAGAAAGAAAGAGAGAAAGAGAAAAGAAGAATGTAAAGAAAGAGAGGAGAAAAGAGAAAGAAAGAGAGAAAAGAGAAAAAGAAGAAAAAGAAGAATGTAAATAGAAAGAAAAGAGAGAAAATGTAAATAGAAGAAAAGAGAAAAGAAAAAGAAGAATGTAAATAGAAAGAAAGAGAGAAAGAGAAAAAGAAGAATGTAAATAGAAAAGAAAGAGAAAAGAAAAAGTAAAATAAGAAAAGAGAAAGAAAAAGAAGAATGTAAATAGAAAGAAAGAAAAGAGAAAAGAAAAAGAGAAAAGAAGAATGTAAATAGAAAGAAAGAGAGAAAAGAAAGAGAAAAAGAAGAATGTAAATAGAAAGAAAGAGAGAAAGAGAAAAAGAAGAATGTAAATAGAAAAGAAAGAGAGAAAGAAAAAGAAGAAAAAGAAAATAGAAAAGAAAGAGAGAAAGAGAAAAAGAAGAATGTAAAGAGAAAGAAAAAGAGAGAAAGAGAAAAGAAGAATGTAAATAGAAAGAAAAGAAAGAGAAAGAAAGAAAGAGAAAAGAAGAATGTAAATAGAAAGAAAGAGAGAAAAGAGAAAAGAAGAATGTAAAAAAGAAAAGAAAAAGTAAAAGAATGTAAATAGAAAGAAAGAAAGAAAAGAAGAATGTAAATAGAAAGAGAAAAGAAGAATGTAAATAGAAAGAAAGAGAGAAAGAGAAAAGAAGAATGTAAATAGAAAGAAAGAGAGAAAGAGAAAAGAAGAATGTAAATAGAAAGAAAGAGAGAAAGAGAAAAGAAGAATGTAAATAGAAAGAAAGAGAGAAAGAGAAAAGAAGAATGTAAAAGAAAAAGAGATGTAAAGAAAGAAAAGAAAAAGAATGTAAATAGAAAGAAAAGAAAGAGAAAAAGAAGAATGTAAATAGAAAGAAAGAGAGAAAGAGAAAAGAAGAATGTAAATAGAAAGAAAGTGAGAAAGAGAAAAGAAGAATGTAAATAGAAAGAAAGAGAGAAAGAGAAAAGAAGAATGTAAATAGAAAGAAAGTGAGAAAGAGAAAAGAAGAATGTAAATAGAAAGAAAGAGAGAAAGAGAAAAGAAGAATGTAAATAGAAAGAAAGAGAGAAAGAGAAAAGAAGAATGTAAATAGAAAGAAAGTGAGAAAGAGAAAAGAAGAATGTAAATAGAAAGAAAGAGAGAAAGAGAAAAGAGAAGAAATGTAAATAGAAAGAAAGAGAAAGAAAAAAGAGAAAAGAAGAAAAAGAAGAATGTAAATAGAAAGAAAGAGAGAAAAAGAGAAAAGAAAAGAAAGAGTAAATAGAAAAAGAAAGTGAGAAAGAGAAAAGAAGAATGTAAATAGAAAGAAAAGAGAAAGAGAAAAGAAGAAAAGAAATAGAAAGAAAGTGAGAAAGAGAAAAGAGAAGAATGTAAATAGAAAGAAAGAGAGAAAGAAGAAAGAAGAAAAGAAATAGAAAGAAAAGAGAGAAAGAGAAAAGAAGAATGTAAATAGAAAAGAAAAAGAAAAGAGAGAAAGAGAAAAGAAGAATGTAAATAGAAAGAAAGAGAAAAGAGAAAAGAAGAATGTAAATAGAAAGAAAGAGAGAAAGAAAAAGAAGAATGTAAATAGAAAGAAAGAGAAAGAAAAAGAAGAAATGAGAAAAAAAAGAAGAAAATAGTAAAAAGAGAGAGAAAAGAAAGAAAGAGAGAAAGAAAAAGAAGAAAATGTAAATAGAAAAAGAAAGAAGAATGTATAGAAAAGAAAGAAAAGAAGAAGAAAAAAGAAAGAAAAAGAAAGAGAAAAGAAGAATGTAAATAGAAAGAAAGAGAGAAAGAGAAAAGAAGAAGAATGTAAATAGAAAGAAAGAGAGAAAGAGAGAAAGAGAAAGAAAATGTAAATAGAAAGAAAGAGAGAAAGAAAAGAAAAGAAGAAATGTAAATAGAAAAGAAAAGAGAAAGAGAAAAGAAGAATGTAAATAGAAAAGAAAAGAAAAGAATGTGAGAAAGAGAAAGAAGAAAAATAGAAAGAAAGAGAGAAAAGAGAAAGAAGAATGTAAAAAGAAAGAAAAGAAGAGAAAAGAAAGAGAAAAGAAGAAGAAAATAAATAGAAAGAAAGAAGAATGAAATAGAGAAAAGAAGAATGTAAATAGAAAGAAAGAGAAAAGAAAAGAAGAATGTAAATAAAAGAAAGAGAGAAAGAGAAAAAGAAGAATAAGAAAGAAAGAAGAGAAAGAGAAAAGAAGAATGTAAATAGAAAGAAAGTGAGAAAGAAAAGAAGAATGTAAAATAGAAAGAAAGAGAGAAAGAGAAAGAAGAATGTAAATAGAAAGAAAGGAGAAAAAGAGAAAAAAGAAAGAATGTAAATAGAAAGAAAAGAGAGAAAGAGAAAGAGAGAAAGAAAGTGAGAAAGAAAAAGAAGAATGCAAATAGAAAGAAAGAGAGAAAGAGAAAAGAAGAATGTAAATAGAAAGAAAAAAGAAAAATGAGAAAGAAAATGAGAAAAGAAATGAAAGAAAAGAAAAGAGAAAGAGAGAAAGAGAAAAGAAGAAAATGTAAATAGAAAGAAAGAGAAAAATGAGAGAAAAGAAGAATGAAAAAGAAGAAGAAGAATAGAAAGAAAGAGAAAAAAGAAAAGAAAAAGAAAGAAAATGTAAATAAGAAAGAAAGAAGAATGAAATAGAAAAAAAAGTGAAAAAGAATGTAAATAGAAAGAAAGAGAGAAAAGAGAAAAAGAAGAATGTAAATAGAAAGAAAGAAAGAAAAAGAAGAAAGAGAAAAGAAGAATGTAAATAGAAAGAAAGAGAGAAAGAGAAAAGAAGAAAAGAAAGTGTGTAAATAGCAAGAAAGAGAAAAGAGAAAAGAAGAATGTAAATAGCAAGAAAAAGAGAAAGAGAAAAGAAAATGAGAAAAGAAGAATAAATAGAAAGAAAAGAGAAAGAGAAAAGAAAAGAGAAAGAAGAATGAAAGTGAAAAGAGAAAAGAAGAATGTAAATAGAAAAAAGAAAAAAGAGAGAAATGAAAGAAAGAAAAGAAAAGAATGAAAATAGAAAGAAAGAGAACTAAGGTTTGTAGAGGGTGATGGCAAAAATTCTTTTATAATTTGAAACTTTTTTGTCCTTTAGACAAATTCATATAAAAGAAAAAAGCAACATGGAAGCCACTAAAACAAGAACCTCATCTGCTCAAATATTATTTTTTTCCTTTTCTGTTTATTTGCTTTTTTATTTTCTTTTGTCTTCATGATTATTATTTTTTTTTAATTATTAGCTTATACATCCAAGTTAATCAACTTTAAGATATTTTAATTAGATCTTTTTAATTACTGATCCTCTTTTTAATTAGCTCATTAGTGCATTAGTCTATTTAACAATGGTCCTAGAAGCTAAAACAGAAGCATCTTGCAATATTAAAATTGATTTTTTTTCAGAAAACAAGTGTAGGCATTTTTCTCTTATGTCTGTTTATTTTTTAAATATATAAAAACAATGTACAGGCTCTTAGAGAATTTACATGTAAATGTAAACATGTGCACTTGTGGAACTGCAACAGATAATATAGGCAGGAAACAAATATTGACATACACCGGGTGTAACAGCAAAATTGTCCAATTGTCAGATTAAGCTTTGAATTGTTGTATCTTAGAAATTATTAAAGATATCTTAAAGGAATTCCCCAAGAATTTTATAAGACTATTAGAGTCTGAACAATAAGAATGCATTTAGCTTTAAGCTGAAATCATGAACCCTCTTGCTGCTGTGACCTCCTGATCCAGTTTTCCTCTCTACTGCTCCCTCTATTTAAACCTGTTCACCATTCTCTTGATGGTTCTTGAATAGACTTTCAAGATTGAAGTAAGAGTATAAATGTTGGTACCATTACTGAAGGCCTGAATGATCTTTTTCCTCTCACCATTGCTCAGTTGGGAAGATATAGTGGGGCTGACACAAAATGATTTTAGCCTGTTCTCTTTCTAGCTGAATAACTTGAAGGATTTTTCAACAATTCAAATGGTATCAAGATGGCTAAATATCTTAACTGAAACCCTGAAAAAGGAAACTCTATTAGTTAAGTGTTTTTTTTTTAGATATTAAACATTTTGTGGGATGGACAATTATCCCATGCTGTTACACGATTTGGACAATTTTGCTGTTACACCCTGTATATAATTCCAGCCGCAAAAGCTCAGAATAAACACTCCTACTAGTATTCAAAACAACACAAAAATAAAATACATCTTAAGCAGTCAAAACATGAAGAGAATTTAACATTATATATATATATATATAATTATTATTTATAAAAAAATTATAACGTAAATATGTTATAAAAATCACTACAAAAATAGCTATTTAGTTTCAACACCTTTGGTGTCTTATCAAGGATATATATATATATATATATATATATATATATATATATATATATATATATATATATATATATATATATATATATATATATATATATGAATTACTTAAATATATATATATATAGATATATGAATTACTTAAATATATATATATATATATTTATTTATATATATATATATATTTATATATATATATATTTATTTATATATATATATATATTTATATATTTATATATATATATTTAGATGAATTATATATATATATATATATATATATATATATATATATATGTAAGCAAATATATGGATATAGATCTAGTATGAAGAATATAAAAATAAATAAAAATCCTAATATGCAATTATATTAACAAAAACAGCATAATTGCATATTAGGATTTTTTGTTTGTTTTTTCCATGTATTTTCTTATATATATATATATATATATATATATATATATATATATATATATATATATATATAGTTATAAAGATATGCTATCTTTATGGGCAAAATATTCATGGAGACAGCATATGTAAATATAAAAAGAAGACAATGAATTTAATACCAAGTGGCAGCAATCTCTACTTCCATGCACACACACACACACACACATATATATATATATATATATATATATATATATATGCATGACATGACAATATTTACTAGTGTGCTGTGTTATGGCAGTTGGGAATCACTGATTTAACCTAGCAATGGAGATAATCGGAAAATTATGATATAATGCAGACCTAATCAAATTTATCTTTACATCCACTGAAGGTGTAACAATTTTAATTAGTTACGCATGGAGAATATTATAATTTGAGTGTCTGAGTAGGTTTAATTAGATAAGGTCTAGACATGATGTAATTAAGTGATATAATGCTCTTTTTCCAAGTACTGATGAAAGCTTTCTATCTAAACATTAAAGCATTTTTTTTTACAATAATGTTCACCCATACAAGGACCAATTAGCCAGTAGTCACTCAAAGCAGAGGGTTACAGAGTAAGAGGTTAGAGGCACAGATTCTGGAGTTAAGATTGAAGTGATTGTGGACATATCGTCTTGAGAGTCGATTCCACAAACTAGCGGTTTGTGGGAAGAAGTGGTTTGAGTGACATTTACATCTGGAAGCATCCAATTCACACTATCCAGTCTTGACAGAGTTCAAAAGCATTTCCAATCTTGTGGGTGATGAATTATTTTCCACCAAACAACCCCTTTCCCAAAGACAAAACATCATCTTGCCTCTCTGTCATTATTTTCCTGGCAAATGTTCAGATGAACTTCTTGGCGGTGAAAGCCTTGAAGGTTCAAACTGGGTGAACTAGGGAATGTAGCTCATCTGAACATTTTCCATGGAAATAGTGATAGAGTAACAAATGGCTTCCAACATTTCATCTATGGGAAAGAAATTGTAGGGGGGGAAATAATTTATCGCTCTCAAGGAAGTGAAGACACTTGTGAACTTTATCAAGACAGGAAAGTGAAAACTAGGCAGCTTCTGTCTATATATGACAGCAGCACTCCATTTTCAGCCTGCTCTGGCTCTTGTAAAAGCAAAGCATAGCAGGAGGAGTCAGGTACTTAGTGAAGTGGTACAAGGAACTGACCATTTTTCCAGCATCTTTAGCAATAGGTCGTATAGATTAGTTCCACTTGAGGTCATTGTTGAGCTTAAGCCTGAATAGGAGCTCAAGGCATGGCATTGAATATGACCAGCCAGTTTTATTGACTCTCAAAGCCTCATTGTTGTGGTCAAAGTTTCACTATTTGCATAAATTCCTGTGTTATTTACAATGTTATCATACATTATAGCAGATTATTAATGCTCACAAGAAAATTAATTTTTGGCATTAAATGACTCATAAGGTGTTGATATCCCAAACAAACAAACATAGCATACAGAAGAAGATGATGATAATGATGAAGAAGAAGTTGATATTTTCTGCACATTATATGCAACAAGAAATTCTTTCTTTGTTCATCAAAGACAGAAATTTTCATTTCAGGTTCTAACCATATTGTAAATGCAAAAACGATTTAAAAAAGGTAAGTAAAGATGAATAAGTTATCTTTCTGGTAGAATGGGATAATCAATGTAAAAAGATAATTTTTTGTTTCTGATCCAAGTTGGAGAAGACGTCAAAGGGTAAGAAGAAATATTGCACAGATTTTGCATGGCCAATGTTAGCAATCTGATCATGGTTCAAATCTCACCCTGGTTGATTTGTCAGAGAAATGACTTTTTGATAATATCGGTCAGGGGAGATGATCCCAGTGTGAGGCACTGTTGGAAAGTACCTGAAAATCAAATCACAAGTTGAGTCAAGCCTTGTGAGGGAAATTGGAAAAATGGAACTGTTTCGAATTGTCAGCACAAAGTTGCAAGTCATCATGAGCAAGAGTTTGAGTGTACTAAACTTGTTCAAACTGGAGATCATGTTAGATTATGTCCTCTCTCCCAGAGGCTGTAACTAAGGTCTGCTGAGTATAGTTGCAGTATAAAGCACAAGTTGGTTTTGTTGGTATTGAAGAAACACAACATGTGCCAGAGCAGGTGTTTGCAACAGGGATTAACTAAGCACCATGGCAGACAGATTTAAATGGATATGAGCAGTCAGCCTTAATATACAAATGCTGGTACAGAGAGAGTGAAAGAAAGAAAGAAAGAAAGAAAGAAAGAAAGAAAGAAAGAAAGAAAGAAAGAAAGAAGAGTGGGAGAGAAAGAAAGCGAAAAGGAGGGGGAAAGAAAGAAAGAAAGAAAGAAAGAAAGAAAGAAAGAAAGAAAGAAAGAAAGAAGGGTGAGAGAGAAAAAGAAAGAAAGTGAGGGAGAGAAAGAGTGTGAAAGAAAAAGAGAGGGAAGGGAAAAAGAAAGAAAGAAAGAAAGAAAGAAAGAAAGAAAGAAAGAAAGAAAGAAAGAGTGAGAAAGAAAGAAAGTGGGAGAAAGAGAAAAGAGAGAGGGATAAAAAGAAAGAGAGAGAAGGGAGAAAGATAGAGAAAAGGAAGAGAGAAAGAGAAAATAGAGGGAGAAAAAGAAAGACTGAAAGAAGGAGAGAAAGAAATAGAAAGAAAGAGAAGAGAGAGAGAAAAAAAGAAAGAGAAAGAAAGGGAAAGAGAGAGAAAGAAAGAGAGAAGAAAGAGAGAAGAGAGAAAAAGAGGAAAGAAAAAAAAAGAAAGAAAGAAAGAAAGAAAGAAAGAAAGAAAAAAAAAAGAAAGAGAGCTTTGTAAAAGAAGATTAACTGTGATGAAGATCAAAATAAAGAACAGATGATTTTGAAGAAATTACAAGAAATCAAATCAATCTGAATAATAAATATGCAAAAGGAATTTGGTTGCAGTGATAAGGAGATCAAACGTCAAATGAAAAAAGAAAACACAAAGAAAGAATTGTGGATAGAGAAATTGAGGAATATTTCAAGTAAACAAAAGAAAAAAACAAGATGCATGTTTTGCTGAAGGAGTTTTACTGGCATTATTTACTGATAAGATTTTCAGAAGTGAACTTTTTTTCTTTTTCTCTATTGATTTTTAGATTGAGTTTCATTCAATTATTTAGTAATAAAGCAAACTTTATGCAAGATATTTTTTAAGTTTTATTTCAGAGCATGAAGGAAAATTTATGATTCAGTCTAAAGAGTAATAATTTTAGATGAAAAAAGATAAATTGTAAAGCGCAAATAAAGAAAGAAAAATAGGATTCTGATGTGTTGACAATGAATAGATGATTTAATCAGATAAAAATATTGTGACAAATAATGAGACATTGATCTGCCTCTCTTTGAAAAAAACATTAGTTCTGCATTAAAAAAAAGAAAAATGTTTTCATAAATAGGTGCATATAAAATGAAAAAGAAAGAAAATACTGCAGGATATTTTAAAATAAAACACAGTATATAAAAATTGAAAAATACATTTAATTAAAAGTAATAATAATCTACTAAAGAGTAAAAAAGTGTTTTAATAAACAGTTTTAGTCAATCATAAAAAATGCATTACTTCAATAATTGACTTACATTATTGTTTATAGTTTTATCATCGTTAAATGTTAGTCTTATATTAAGAGTAAAAATTGTTTTAATTGGTGAGAAGTAAGTTCCACTCAAACAGCATCTTCTCACAAATTACTGCTCTGTGGAACAGACTCCTAAGAGGATGTTTTCCTAATCACTACAATCTTAACATGTTCAAGTCTAGAGTTAACTGTCATCTTCCCCTCCTATCAATATAAAAAACTCCTTAACATAACTCTTTGTCTCGAGTACCCTCCTGGACTTTGTACCGGGTGAACCTTACTGTAAAAAAAAAAATATAAATAGTTCCATGATAATTTCTGAATTATTTCAGTATCTTTCCCAAGTAGGTCCATCTTACTTAGCAGTTAAAAGAAGTCTATGTTGTACCTTATAAAACACTTTTGCATTAATCCTTTACTGATGCTAGAGAAAAATGACGTAATGCCCAGCTACCGATTGAACAATGGTAGAGGAAAATGACTTAATGCCCAGCTACTGGTTGAACGGTGTGTAAATACTTGTAACTATTTTTATATCTACTGTCAAACATTACATACTAATTATTTGACTCGAGAGCTCAGGTAGAAGGGTTAAAATCGTTCAGAAATGCAGAGCTCAAAGGGTTAAGAATAAAAAAGTGTTTTAATAGTTTTATTATAAGTTAATATGATTTATATAATTTACTAGCAGTAGAGCCCGGCATTGCCTGGGGATGGAACAGTAAGAGATAGATCAAGTATCGACCATCATAAAGACTGAAAAATAAAATTGACAAAGATTATTGTTTAAGGTTGACGGACACGCATGTCTTAATTAGTTTTTTTTTTTTTTTTTTTACAAATTGGTCAAACCCAAAACTCAAACAAAAACATTGTTTTCAATCATTATGAGTCTACTGATTGAATAGAATTTTATTATAAACAATTGTCTTGTAAATGGAATTTTTAAAGCATTTTGAATGTAAAATAAAGAAAAAAAGTGCAAGACAATAAGAAACACTACCTGCCAAAAAAAGTGTTTTGTTGAAACTGGTTGAAAATGTAGGAAATCCAAATCAATGTATAAAGGAACACACACACACACACACACACACACACACACACACACACACAAAAAAAAAAAAACAACCTGGGTTTTATAATAAATATAACTCGATATGAGTTGTCCCCTTTTATTCTCGACAGCAATGCCTCTTAATTGTGTTTTCAAATTGATTTCATGCAAAAACAATTGTGTTTTTTTACAATTTTTGGTGCTGTCAGAACCACCCAAGGTAATTTTACGTAGTCCTGTGAAGTTTTGTTGAAATCGGTTGAAAAATGAGGAAATCCGATCCAATATATAAACGTACAGACACACACACACACACACACACACACACACACACACACACACACACACAACCTGGGTTTTATAATAAGTATGGAATTATTGATTACATTATTATGTTTTTAATACTGATAAATTAATAGACATCAGTTTAGCATTCTCTTTCTATGTGCTGTGTTCCTTCAGGATGTGGCCAATCATAGCTCTCCACAACTTCCTGTCCTTTGTAGTTCTTAGCAGTGTTTGTCTTTTTACTATCTCTCCTAAAGCTTGTTTTGCCAAACATTTAATCAAGCTTGTTAGGTAGATCATTCCCTGATTCCCTTTGTTCCTCTGGGTGTCAAATTCTCCAAGCTCTCTTTGCTCATTAGAAATTTTAATTGCTTCTGATTCTAAATATAAATGTCCTTTTTATTTCTATTTTCCTTAAAACTTTGTCATTATTCCTATGTTCAGTCTATGGCATTCTTAGCATCCTTCTGTAGAACCATGTTTCGGTTGTCTTAAGTCTCTTCTTCATCCATGAGGAGAATGTTCAGCATTCACTGCCATATAGACTGATTGATATTACTTAACAGTTCAGTACTCTTTTTTTTGTTTCTTATGAAATTTTCATGTTTCTTAATACTTTGCTTAGCTTTTTGGAATGCATCTTTTGCTATCCCAATGTTTGGATTTTGGTGTTGCATTTTTCAACCTCTGTTAAAACACTTCCTAGATATTTAGATGTTTGTACTTGGTTGATTTTGGTATCTCCAATTTGTAACTTGCACACTGGGCTGTTGCTTTTGTTGACAACCATTTTATCTTCTTGCAAGTGATGCTTAGTCATTTCTTCTTGCTTTCCTTTACTAAACTCACTAGGAGTTTCTGTAGTTTTTGTTATCAACATTTGCATATCTGATTTTGTTAAAAACTGTGGTCATTAATAATGAATTCTGGTAAAACTTCTAATTCTTGCAGTATTGCCTCACTGTAAACGTTGAATAGGTCTGGTGAGAAGACACATCCTTGTTTTATGCCTCTTTCTATTTTTGTGTATTTACTGAATTCATTTTCTATCTGTATGCAGGCAGTGTACTCACAGTGTAAATTCTGGATTGTTCTAGTACTTTCTGAATGTGGATTCAGCTTGCCTAGTAGTTAAAACAAATCTTTGTGTCATCAAACATTTTTGTATTAAGAGTAAAATTTAATCATCTGAGAGAACTCTTTTTACCTACCATCAGAATGGTTGATGCTAACCTTGAGAAAAGTGAGTCATTGCACCTTCTCAGACTAATGTTTTTTTCTGCTGACATGAAGTTGAAAGAGTATAATGAATTAGTTGCAGCTAAGAAAGTTGGTTCACTATGCTGTGCCAGACGATTTTTCTCTCAGGAACCTATCTTACATATTTATAAGTCTCTTATCCTTGTTTTTAATATTTTTGCTATATCTGGTCTGGTAAAATCCAAAAACAAATCTGCAATGCTATTGATCTTTTCCTTGCATCTTGGCTTCAGTCCCTTTATTTTACTGTTGAAGAGGTTAGATGAAATAGTTCTATGCTTTCTTCTATCACACTTCCCACTTGTTGGGCTCTCCTCTGGCTTCATGCTTGCCAGTGAACTTTGATCTTTAAAAATTTAAACAAAGTATCAATCATTATCTTCTGTCTTCTTCATTCTTATTCTTTTATTGTCTTCACTCTTTAATAGTATATTTGCCGCATATTCTCTAACATTTAGTAACCCCTTGCATCCTAGTGGCTTTATTGCCTTGCTTGGAGTGAAATAATTAAAAAAAAATTATATTATTTATATAATTTATATTACTGATTATAATTTTATTATAGTTTTTAATGTTGATAAATTAATAAACTTTACTTTTGCATTGAGAGGAAAAAGTATTTCAATAATAAATAGTTGGATATAAAAATATTGCAAAGAAAAACAAATGGACATTTATACTTGTAGTGAATCTTTATTTAATGCAATTTGACTACTGCCCATAGGTGAGGTTTGACCATTTCTTTTACAGTCGAGTAGTTCAAGGAGAAGACAAATATGGCTACCTTTGAACCCCAAATATAAAAGGCAAATAAAAAATATTATGAACATTTGTTAAGGGGGTCATAGTGCATAAAAATGGGAAAATATGTCAAGAAATACAAGATATATATTTAATGCAAAAACATGTCTCAATGTTGATAAGAGAAATTGAATTCAACCAAACAATAAAAAAAGTGTTGTGAGTCATTAATAAAAAAAATCAAATAGGAAACAAACATTAGTTGATTAATTTTGAACGAGATTAAATAAAGTAAGGTTGATGAACATCATTTGTTCATGGCTGAGGGATATGCGATTAAAAAGGAAAGATTTGGAAATAGAAAGGATTTCTACATAAATAAAAATTCTAAGTTCTGATATGGAGATTGAAGCTGAAACAAATTTTGAAAAAATAAAGCAATAAGTAGTTGCAGATGAAGACTCAAATATTGGAAAAACAGGCATAGTGATCACAAAAGACAGAGAAAGAAAAAACCTACTCAATTTCGAAAACAGGAGGTTCTCTGAAATGTCTCCTACAGGATGATGACTAAGTTACTACAAATAATAAAATTGACATCACAGTTATTATTATTATTAGGTGATCATTTTAGATGAAATAGATTAAACATATAGATTGTGAAAAGTAGGCTATACAATTTAAAAATGGATAAAAACTGGTATTAGATGAAATAATTGCACAAATAATCTTTTTCAAACACTGAGAAAATTAAGTGAAAAGTTTTTCCTGTTAATTCACCCTAAAGTAAAAAAAGAATTTATATTTACTAAAATTCACATCAAATTATCCCAGAGTGAGGCCTTTCTTTTCCATTCTGGTTGGG